TTTAGCGGCTTTCCTTTTTTCGCACATGTTTAAGCAATCTTCATCAAACCACGGTTTGTTATTCTTATTTTCCTTTTTTCCTAGACACGAGTTACCGACCGCTTTAATATTATCCCTGATCTCTACCCATAACTTGTCAATATCCTCGTGGTCCTCGTCAGGAAGCTCTAAAGCTTCAAACCTATTCTTAACATCTAGCTCGAATTGGTTTCTAATTGATGGATTTTTTAATTTTTCCAAATTAAAATTCTCAAAATCGAAACGGTTTTCTTTTCTCTTTTTTATATTAAGTTTTTGTCGAAGTTTCGCGATTACTAATTCATGATCCGACCCACATTCTGCTCCGCGATAAGACCGTACATTGATTATACTGCTTTGCCAGCTGTGTTGTATCAAGACATGATCGATTTGATTTCGTGTTTGCGAATCCGGCGATGTCCAAGTATATTTATGAATATCCTTACGTTTAAACGTCGTACTTTTAATTACCAGGTTTTTCGAGATGGCAAAGTTTATCAGACGGATCCCATTATCATTACTATATTCGTGCAAACTTTCTTTACCAATCGTCTGAATATAAACTTCTTCCCTTCCTACCTTTGCGTTCGCGTCACCTACAATTATTTTCATGTAGTTTCGCGGTAGTTTATCATACACCCATTCGAGTTTATCGTAAAATTCACTTTTGACTTCATCGTCACTGTCTTCGGTCGGACAATGTATGTTTATTAATGCGATTTTAAACCAACGTCCCTGAAATGTAGCTACCGAAATTCTATCACTAAAGAATTGTACGTCCCTCAAAGCGGATAGTAATCTACTCCTAATTAGAAACCCGGTACCTAAACAATGATTCCCGCTTCCTCCGTACCAAATAGTGTACTTTCCTTCCCTCATCGAGCCCTCCCCTGGCCAGCGAACCTCATGCAGAGCCACGACATCCAAAATGTACCCATTTACCTCATTCGCGACCGATTTTAGCCCCCCTGCTGTGTTTAAACTCCTTACGTTCCACGTACCAATATTTAAATCCCTATATTTCAACTTGCGGCATGAATCCCCTAAAGCAGTCCCCACCCGGAGACCCGAACGGGGGACTAGTTTACCTCCGGATAATGAGCGTTTTACCTTAGGGAGATCCATGACTTTTTGTGGTGTTTGGTGAACTAAAGATATGTGAGTAGGGCGTTCAATCCTACGTCACACCCTCCAGCAAGTCTGGTGGGCCCCTACCTCCAGCAAGTCTGGAGGGCCCCTCTCATTGTTGGTCAGCGAGTCCATCGGACTTAGCCGGGAGGAACTTCCAAGGAATTTCCACCGACCATCCCCACATCCGCCACCCGTGGGACGCTCCCCATACGCGGTAATGAGCCCGCGCGAGGCCTCTCCCCCAAAATGGTAAAAAATATAAACATGTTTTATCGAAAAAAATTATCTCTTAAAGTATAATTGTTCATATAATTACGTTTAAAAGGGCTTTAGGGATCACTTAAACACCAGTTCAGATAGGTAGTTAGTTTCTTTCTTATTTTCCAAAGTAATTATCGTTATTTTTATGAAAAAAAAGCTTTCAGGCTGAAGCTCCCCCCCCCAAATTAAATCCTGGATCCGCTAGTGGTTCCATTCATATTTTTTTTTTGGCCTTAAAGATCTTGTAGACTTTACCATCTTCACTAGCCTTCTTTATCTGTTACTATTTTGGACTGATGCTTCTCAATTATCTGCTTGCAGCTCTGCGATATCTTTGGTGTTTCGATCTATCCTGGTTTTTTGCCTCCCGCGCTGTCTCTTTCCAACTAAAGAAGCATTCTTTGTTGGGTTAAGTAAATGATCCTGGTCAGATTATCTCTTTGTATAGTCATCAGTCAAAAACCAGTATATTTCCTTAAAACTGAAGGCCCTTCATTGATTCTAGTGTTGTAGGTTTATGTTATAACAAGAAATACAGATTTGTTCTTCATTTGTCTCTCTTTATTACTTATTGTTATTTCATGGTGTTTGTTACTCGATATCCTTCAGATACACTAGCAGATTCGAAGGGGAATTTTTCGGAGTAAAGTCTGCTTCCTCTCCCCCTGTTGGAAAAAAAAAAATTGTTTGTTATTTGTCTCTAAAACTTATTTGAATCAGATAACGCAATTGAACATATTCCTGGAATTAAATTTTATTTCAATAATCCTATCCCTCCCACATAGTCCGATGAGAGCCCCTCTCAAAACTAAATATCGGATTCGCTACTGCACAGAGATGTAAAGCCTGCCGAATAATTAGAGTATATTAATCTGCCATACCTCGCTTGTAAGCACGGATCACTCCAATTACCATGCGATGAACCGTACTTAATTAAATGAAACATTTCAATTAGCTATTGTTAACATCACAAATCAGGATCATGGAATGCATTGGAGTTTTCCTCGAACGAAATCCAACGAAGTTCATTTTTGATACATTATTGAACAAAATGTGTGGCCATTCGTAGGGAACAATGCCAGAGGTTTTACAAAAGTATCTTAACATGCTATATTGTATTGTTTTTTAAATCCGTACGTGCTGATTTATATCGGTTTTATTAAAATTGAAGTACATTGTACAAAACAGAACAATAGAAACCTGAAGTACTATTGTTATGATTACGTACCAGCATCCCTTTCAGCTGTGTATATGCATTTTTACTTTAATGAAATCAAATTTTATTTGTGTTTCATCATTAGTTTATCTCTCTGGTATTAGGTTTGTTCCTGTGAACCGTTGTTCATTAGGGGTGTAGCTTTATTTTATTCTCAATTTAATAATAATTTTGCTGCGAAAAAAACACACTACATATATTTTTTTCAATCAGGAGAGAACGTTATTGTTTTAATTTAAAAATTGTCGCGTTTTTTAAAAATTAATTTCTTTTCTTTTTTTGTGAAGCTCAAACATTAATTCGCCCCGAATGTTTTAGTTACTCCACTGTTACAGAATTAACATGTTTGTTTTTTGTCTCCACTATCCGTATATTGGGTTTCACCCAAGAAGTAGGAATTTCTGGATCTGAAGCGGTTACCAACTAAATATTGACAAGTCAGGAGTGCTCCAAAACGGTGTGACTCATTATAAAATTCAAACAAACGATCCCATTTTGGGAAGTTAACTTGTGCTCTACTAACTAACAGAGAGAAGTTGTAAAACAAACGGATATTCTTTTTTAAATACCTTAAAGAAACCTGTTTTAATGGTTTAAGAAAGAGGTGTCTAACGATTTCTTAATATATGACATTGGAATTCCGATAGACCGTTCTTAAACTCATCTATAGAAACCGATTGAATCACCTCTGTGTTGATTGAACCAACACATTATAACCTTAGTGTTGTTATTTTTCAATTTACGTTGTCTATTTATAATCGGTTTAAGTAGCTATATCCTTATGTATTTTTTATTCTGTCTGTGTTTCATAACCTTCTAGCAGTTTTAACCTTCCACTGAACTAAAGCAGGTCACACATTCTCAGCATAAATTGATTTCCATCGGTGGATCACTGGATTCAATCGATTGATCGATTCCGTCGAAAGAATTAGCGCTGAGTTTAGGCACGTGATCTTAATATTTTGGTCTTAATGTAGTCAGATATTTGTACTCTAGTTTATTAGTACAGCCAAGTTTTCTTTTTAATAATGAATAATGACTATGAATCAAGTACAGATTGTATATATATTGATATGGGATCGTGAAGGTAGTTGTTTTTGTTTTCTCCAATTTAATAAAAAAATTATCAATTTGTTGCTATCTGAAATTTCCTTTGAAGACAGTTATCGACATCATTAATGATTTAGAAATTAAAGAAAGAAAATATAAAGTTCATTTATTAACTATTATTTTCGTTTTGTTTTTTGCCAACTACATCAGTAAATAATTATTGTTTTATTTCTATACATTAGTATAGAAATAAACATTTACATCTATTAAGATGTAAAATGTTTACATCAATTTACAAATTATAAATATACGTAATAAAAATCGGTCAGTTATTATCAATTAATTTCTTGTCAGTGTTGGCCAGCAATCGTTTATAAATATCGAAAATGAAATATCGTATTTGTGACACACAAGGACGTTTTTTAAAAACATTTATCTGAAAAAAATCGTCCTCACGAAAAAATAGAAATTCTCCTTACTAGATCAGATGATTACATCATTTTGTCTCGCCGCTTTCTCTGGTCGATTTGTTTTTCTTTTTTTTTTAAACTTGCAGGCTACACTGTTCCAAAAAATATCATCACAGTGAAACTACTTATGTCCGCTGTTTCCGATGATTATAAACCATATTTTTAAGGATTTCTTCACTAAACTTAGTTCATTAATTTATAAATTTGATAAGATCCTGTTCCTCTGCAATGTCAACAAGTTTATTAAATATTATGTGAGCCATAAAAAATTAAAATTAATGCAACCAAAATAATAAATACAGTGAAATTCATTCTCATTTATATATTTTTTTTGTTTCATCAGTGCTATTTTTTTTTAGATTATATTTGCTTGAACCAAATTGACTGAAAAAAAGGTGATTCAATAATTTATATTTAAAAAGAGAATTTTTTTTTAACATGACTTAATCTTTGATCTGTAAAATTTTGTGAAAATATCTCAATACAGTTTTTAATTTAGTTCAACTTAAATGTATATTTATTAATCAATATAGTATTGTTGGCTAATCACTTACTGTACTATCTATGTATGATTCCTATTAATTTTTTTTGTGTATAAAGACTTTTCTTTTTTTAATTACAAATATTTCATGTCACTATACATTTCTCTGTATGAAATGTAAACAGAGTAGTCCAGCTGATATGGATAGCGCTTGAACTTCATTATCCATATAAATTTAGTTTTAATAGGGAGTTTTCCTGGAGTCAAGACAATGCCCAACTTTTGTTAAATATTTACCTTGAAATTGAATTAATTAATATAAAAACTTTTTTTTTTAATTCGTGCAATGCATAATCTATTTGTATTATTTCAGATTGGTACCATGCTAATTAGTCGAGTTGCCAATGAAGACATGATCTGGTATCAAGATCATAATCTTGCTTCTCCTAGGGTGTCTCCCTATTGTGACCTGACCCTTGATCACAAACCAGTGCAGCGGGCCATCGACCAGCTCAACTTCATCCAGATGAAACGTAAGTGTCCTCTTCATTTTGAGTAGTCTTAATTTTATTATATCATTTTGTCATTTGATACTAACGGCTCGATTATTGTTAAAAAGCTGCCAAAGATGGCGAGGAAAGATTACCTGCAGGTATGGCTTGAGTAGATCTGCTTTGCATAGCATTAGTTGTGCTGTCTTGGATTTACAGTAGCTTTATATTTATTGTGCCTGGATTGTATTATTTTTTATTGTTGTTTACTAATTAGTTATTGTTATTTACTTTAATTACTTACATCTTCTAATTATATCTATTTTTTGATATTATTTTGTTGTTTTACAGCAAACTGTTTAACTGTTTTCATACCTATTATTGCATAATACAGTGATGTATTCATTGCTTGCATCAGTGACCTCATATCAAAGACGGACATTTTTAATTTCTAAAATGTTGAGAAAAAGCCAATTTTGGTAACACAGCTTCGAATTGAACGTATAAAACATAAATTGACTTTTTCTTTACTTTCTCAAAACTATAGATGTCCTTCTGTCTTGATATGAAACCACTCAAATGACCATAAATAAAATAGGAACAGGTTTAATTTTATTTTTCATGAACAATTTTGAAACATTTTATAAATTTCTTTCACATTTTCTGTCAATTAATCTGCCTATTTATTTTTTTTAATTTATTCTGTGGTAAAAAGCAGTCTAATTTATTTTTTAGTGTTAGCTATAAATCCGATAAATTGTGACTAACTTAATGTTGGACTTTTTTTTTTTGCTTTACAGTCTCTTCTTGATAGGCATATATTTGTGTATCTGTATATATATTTTCATCCTGAGAAAAACCAACAGGGGAGGGGGTCATGTATTTTTTTTTAGATTGCATGCCATTTGGCATACTTCCTATATAAAATGTTTTATTGCAATCAGTGCTAATATTTGTGAGGAATTAAAGCGATATATGTATCGAAGTAAATATATAAAAAAGAAGGTATTAAAGAAAATTAAATGAAGAAACAGAGAAAGAGAGAGTAAAAGACAGATAGAGTGAAATTTAAAAAAAAAAAAAAAAAAAACAAACAAATTAAAGTGGACAAAAAAATAAATAAACTTAAAACTAAACCACTACAAACAGAAAGTGGTGGGAGTCGAAAGTTGAGAATGCAGTTTTAATTCTTCTGATTTTTCCTTGTTTTTGTTCTATTTCAGTTACCAATTTTGTTTACCTTTTTTTTTTATAGAAATTACGGTCACAAGTTAATCAAGTTAATCGGCTAATTGTAGCTACTTCTTATTGTATTTGTAAAGGGGGATTTTTTCTTTAGGTGGCCTTTATCTTTTAATGTTATATATTTAAAGACATTAAATTATATTACATTTTTTTTTTTTATTGACTCATGCTCAAATAGAATCTGACAGAGAACTAGAAAAAGAAGACAGAGTTACATTTGCCAGATTGGTCGGCTTTGTTCTCCTAATGCATGTGATTCATATGGAACATGTAGTGAGAGCTTCTCTGCTGTATATAGAACACTTGATTAAGTCCAACAACTTTACCAGTTCCCGATGCAACTCAACTTTTCTACTTATACAGCAGTTGCTTGCCATCGGAATGGATGCAACATTTCAATCTCTTTTGGCTAATCTGTTAATGTGCTCTGATAAGTAAATTGAATACAAGTTTATATACTTTGTTGGATTATAATTCTAGAATTTTACAGAATTTTTTCTTTTTAATTTAATTTTACATTTACCCTACTAAAAGATTGGATCGGGTTCTGAAGATAAACCTTCATTTTGAAAAAAAAATTGTTTGGTTATTATTGTTAGTTTTGACATCCTAATGCATTCCAACTAGGGCGGAAAGGTATGTTATTTTGTAACTTACCATCTTGTTCTGAGTGTTGCATGGTAATATTAAATAAAATTGAAGTCACCATTCTCTGGCAGAAAATCAGTGGCATCTTCCAGTAGCTTGAGCCTGCCACAGTACTGTTTCATTATCTTGTTCTGATAAATTTAATTTAAAAGTATATGCACTTTATATGTGAATATACTATGTTCTTATTTATAATTATGTATACACCCTTCTATTTATTTCTGATGTTTTAGTCAATGCTTGAATAGATTTATTATGCTTGTTAGTAAAGTTTTTGGTTTTGTTAAAATATCTGTTTTCGTCTTTACTTGTATTGATGTCTTTGTGATAGTTATTGGTTCTTTTTTATTTTAAACGCACCAGTGAATTTTATTTTCACTGCTACGGGATTCATAATTGATAATACCAACATCTGTTTATTAGACGTATGATACAAGTAGTTTATTTAAATGTATATTTCAAGTACAGAAATGAAATTATTCGAACTACGTACCCCTTAGGGAACAGACAAGAAGGTAATAATGATTCTACGGAGAAATAGAATAATACATGAAATAAGGAGGTGTTCTGGATTACTCAAAATTTCTGTGTGTTTTATGAAAGACAAAAGTCCTCTTAAACAAAAGTTTAATAAAGCAGATGTTTTTGTATCAATTATGAATCCCGTAACATGTTTAAGCAACTTTTCATAACTGTGAAATCAATAAAGTGAAAAAAAAAATTCTCTGGTGTTTAATGTATAAAAGAGCCTAGTTATTTTCTAGAACATTTCATCTGCCTTATTAATTATAAATCTATTTTTTATGTTGTACGCATTTAGAAATCTGTGTTAATGTTTTACTTGGTAATTTTTGGTTACTCTATTATTATTTATGTGCATAGTTAACTTATAAGCTCCTCAAGATATGTATAAATTCAGGTTTAAATTTAGAACAAAATCATTATATAAATGAAAACAACAAGTTGTCTAAAATAATGCAATAAATGCAGAGCTCAGATAGGCAGTTAAAAAGTTATTAACTTAATTTATTTTCATCAACTGTTAGAACACTTGCTGAGTAAGTCATTACATAAATCTAAACACCATTTGATTTTGGTTTCGAGCTATACCCTTATAGTTTCAACTTAAAATATAGAAACTTTATGATTATTTAGCTACCATTAAAATATTATTTTATTTAGGTAAAATTTTATATATTTCAATTTTTTTTCCATCTCTTTTTTATAATCTATTGTTTGAATTTGAAGGGTTGTTAGTTGTTCTGTTGTTAATATTTGATATAGTTAATTATGGAATTTGTTATTCATTAAAATGTAATATTTAATAGAAATATATAATGGTACATATTTTCCAGTTGTATTATATATAGCTGAAAATTTTGTGTCATTTTTAATTTTATTTATTCAATTTTCCATACTAGCTTCAAAAAAATAACTACTAATTTAATCTTTGTGATTATAGCGCCCAACGCTCCTATTATAATCCCCGAGGAATGCAGTGCTGAAAACAACAGTGTTACTATTGCTTGGCAGCCACCACAGACCTCATATATCGAAGGATACATCTTAGAACTGGATGATGGGAATGGTGGAGAATTCAGGGTAATCTGCTCTGATAATTAATTAATTTTTTTCTTAAGAAATGCATCGTTTTTGTATAAAATTGTTTTTCTCTGAATAAACTTGTTATCATGGTTAAGAGAACTGGAATAGTTCACCACATATCTGGCTCTTTTATGAAATATCAATTTTTTAGGATAACATTTTTAAAAAAATGAATCAATATAATTAATTTTATAAGCTCCTAAGTTTTATATGATTCTGTTAGGATAATCAAAGAATCCCTGGAAAGCATATTTTATTTCATCATTGTTTTTACACAATATATTATTTATTTCTAGATCAATTTTTTCATTCTTATATGATCACTTTAACAATTTATAGTATTTTACAGTATATCTCTTCAATATTTAATATTTATGTATATTGAATTTGATAGTGTAATCATAATGATCTCTCATATTGTCGTTATAATTTTAACACAGGTATCTATTATATTCAACCATTGATGCCATAAGTTACTCATTACTAACTAAAGACATTTATTTTTCATTCATCAGAATAAAGTTACCATCCATTCATGTTTATTCCATCTTAATAACATTTACTAATTTCTTTGCTACTTACTTTTCATTAGAATATTAACCCAGTTTTTTTCTTCTTTTTTTTGTGGGTGATAAAACATAAAATACCTTACTTTTTCTCAGTTTTCATTCTCATTATATTTTAAGCTCTAAAGGTTCAGGCACAGAGATCTTGTAGAGGTTCTTAAACTAAGGTCCATGGACACCCGAGGGTCTGCATAGCATATTATTTGCAAAATATAACTTAAAAACTCAAGGCAAAGTAATAAAATACTGAAGTTCAATCCAGTAAAAGAATACTGAGACTCCTGTATCCAGGTAGAAACGGTAACACGTACCAACATATTAAAAGAACGAATTTATGACCGACTCCAACCTAACCTGGAGGATTAGAATAGATATATTTTGTTATATGTCTGTATAATGAATGAAAACAATAATCCTAATTGTGGTAAATGTATCTAGTAAAAAATAGAATATAGGAAGTTCGTAAAGATCTTGAAAGGTCCAACATCCAAGATGTTGAGATGTTGGATAGGAATATTTTTCGGACTGTAAATCAAGGTTGGGAAAGGTTTCAAGTCGAAAGAACTGCGAGGATTAAGAGAGCCTGAACAGATGACTGGAAGGAGCAGCACAGCATACTTAAGAAGGAGTACTGGAGGAAGAAGAATCTTCATAACAAAGAACAAATTAAATTATATTCTGGTCCTAAGTGCTCAATTTGACATAAAGAAAAAAAAGTACAGGCCTAGTAAATAATATCAGAACATATGTACATTTAACATCATACCCTATATTGGTTGGATGGTTTATATTAATTTAAAACATTTTTGTAATTGGTAATTGGTTGACTGTCGTTGATAATGAAGAGAAGAATAGTTGGGGTGGTCAGTCAAAAAGGAAGGCAAAAATAAATGATAATATCTATTTTTTACATATGCCGACGTTTCGACCTGAAGTTCAGGCCTTCATCAGGGCTAAGAAAATAACCCATAACTAAAATAACTGAAAGTAATAGAAAATAACTGAACTTCAGGTCGAAACGTCGGCATATGTAAAAAATAAATATTATCATTTATTTTTGCCTTCCTTTTTGACTGACCACCCCAACTATTCTTCTCTTCATAAAACATTTTTGTTTTTTTAAATTAATAAAAGTGTTTTTGACCTATGCTCCATCAAGAATGAGCGATGATTATAATAATAATAATAAATTAGGATTTTACTGAGGCCAAGAAATGAATTTCTGAGGCCTAAAAAAACCGTCTAAAATTTCAAGCAAAATCCTTCTCTGGGTATGTCAGGATTCATTTTGCAGAATGACAGACCAAAATTTCTCGTTTCAGAGTACAGTATAAATAATGCTTTATATTTATTGTGGTTATTTTCTTTCAATTAATATTACTTAAGTTGATAATGATCTGTCTCTTGCTATCATGGGAATGGTGATTGCAATCGCATTAATATTGTTTTTTGTTTATTTTTAATCTTATAGGAAGTTTACTGTGGGAAAGAAACAATTTGCACCGTTGATGGACTCCACTTTCACTCAATGTATAACGCTCGTGTGAAGGCATTCAACAGTACTGGTGAGGGGGAGTATAGTGAACTCATCGGACTTCAAACTGCAGAAGGTAGAAAAATAAGAAATATGTTTATGTTTTAGTATCTCATATAATTTTAATAAAATCTTTCAAGGCCGTGGTGGTCGAGCATGTTGGAATACTGTCCGCTTTAACATTCTCGAGCCTATTATTAATCCAGCCAGGGTGGGTTGAAATTTATTTCATGGCTAACCCTCAAAAAGAATTTCGCTCTTTCTACTATGGTATTATATTATATTATGAGAGTAGGTTTGGTTGTACCTCAAGAATTACTCTCCTTTCCCCATACTACTCAGGAATAGCCCTCAAGGTAAAGGGTAGTAAAAAAATAGCCCTCATGGTAGAGGGTAGTAAAAAAATAAAATAAAACTAAGGTGTGTGCCATTGACCACACGATAGAAATGAAAACAGCAACACGGCAAGATTAATAATAAGAAGTACAAATTATAAATAGAGACCGGATCTTCATGCAGTAAAATTCTGAAAAATGTGCAGCAAAAAACTTAAAATATGCAAAACCGTGCAGTAAAAACCCAAAATAAGTAAAATTATCAAATTTAGACCTAAAAACAAAACTTCAAAACTATGCCTGATTAATTAGGTAATAAAAACTCGTAAATGCCCATTTTCTTTCCACTTGAATCGTAAGATAACTTGAGCACAAAGTTGAGAAAAAAGATGGTCTTCATTAATATTGAACCAGATATATTCGAGTTTTAATCACTTTGAAACAAAACTGATATTTTTCTTAAACCTACTTTTGGAGGTTTCCTTCTTAAAGTAGTCAACAGATAGCATTGCCCTTCATCCTTGAAAAGGACTGGCAGTTGTGAATCTACCAGGAAGATTATTATTTAAATTTAAAGGCCAAGCTTATCCTACTTTTTATTTTTAAAAAAAAATATTTAAAAGTTCTGTTGATTTCGCCAAAACTTTTATCTAAAAAGTAACTTTAATTCTTAGCTACCCAAACAAATGACAAATTTTATTTTTTATTTTAACATTTTGTGTCATTTGCACCTGTGCTGCAGTGCAGTTGATTAGTTTTTTCTTATAGGAGTAGATCCCTTGGCCATTTTCTTTTCAATCTGCGTTGATCAGTTAACAGGGAGCAGAAAATACAAAGCACTAATGGATTGATGTGATTTAGAGTTTAAGAATGAAATGAATTGTATTTGTCATGGATGTAGGATTTTACTGTTCGGATGTTGAAGTCATTATGTATAGTGTTATTAGAAACGTTGTGTGGACAATTTTTCGTAGAATTTTTTTTTGTGTTTGTATTTTATTTATGTGTATTTGTTTTGCTGAACCCCAAAGTTCTGCTCCGTATATCCAAATTGGTCTCAGTATGGAGTTGTAGATCAGTCGTTTGTTTCGTAAGTTAAGTTCTGTAGTCCAAGATGTGAGAGTTTGTTGTATCATCTAGTCAGTTCTTTTCTTTTTAATTTAGCATGTCCAGGTAAGTCTTATGTCTAAGTAGAGTCCAAGAAACCGTACATAGTTTTTTTAAGGTACTGGATTATTTTTAACGTTATAGGTGGACATGAGGCTTTCCTAAGAAAGTCTCATGGATGAACAAATGACAGATTAGAATCAAGTAATTCATTAAAGATAAATAATAACTAAGATCTAAACCCAATCATTGTTTATTTCTCATTTAACATAACTTTTTTTTTGAGAACTCAAATAAGTAAAAGTTAAACTTCCTTAGAACTTATTTTTGTAATTATACTTCTTAATTGATTGCAAAAGTACTGCTCATATTTTTCATTAATACAAATACTCCCTTTTTATAACTTATGATAATTTTGTTTTTCTAGTGGCTTGGTTTACTTTTGATCCGTGTTTGAGTGGACCAGATCTTGCATTTTCTGAAGATAATTGCACAGTTACCTGCGAGGGATACGAACACCGAGTTGCCCTTGGAAGTGTTGGCTTCTCGCGTGGAATTCACTACTGGGAGTTTTCAATTGATCGCTACGACACAGACACAGATCCGAGCTTTGGTATCGCCAGGATAGATTCTGCAAAAGATCAGATGCTAGGTACTTCATTAACTATGTTTATTGCTTAATTTACATGTTTGAACTAAGTAAATAAAACTTTTGAATTACTTTTTTTATTATATTTAAATTATTGTTATATTTTGAGCTTTAAATTGTAGGTAAAGATGAAAAAGGATGGAGTATGTACATAGATAGACAGAGATCATGGTTTGTGCACGCCAACACCCACGATCAGCGATGTGAGGGAGGAATTACTACAGGGTCGACAGTGGGCGTCCTCCTTGATCTTGACAGGCACCAAGTCAGCTTCTATGTTAATGAAGAACCACACGTAATTAGCTCTTATTTTCCTTTACTTAATTTTGAAAAAATAGCTACGTTATAAAAATTATGCTATATTAAAATATTATATTATTCTTTGGTTAAAGATAACTTTTGCTTAATTAATGCATAGTTTAGCAATTTGGTTTAGTTTAAAAAAAAAAATTAAAAATAATTTTAATATTTTAAAATATTATATAATCCTTTAGCTAACGACAACTTTTGCTTTAATTAGTGCATAGTTTAGCTATTTATATACAGTTGCATTTTAATAATCCATTTACCCTTTCCATTTATAAATCATAATATAATATTTTGATTGATTTGGAACAATGTGTAATGTATGTTCTAAAAATATATTAATTGTAACAATTTTAATATTATGTTTTAAGTTTACTGTTCAAAATTATCGTTAACTAACAAACTAACCCTTTATAAAGTCTTACTTAAACCTATTTGGACTTAGGCATAGAACTGTGGGGCTCTGCTAAAACTTCCAACATTAAAAAAGTTCAGTCCTTTCAGTCAAAAGTGTTGCGAAGGATAGTTGACGCACCTTTTTATGTCGCAAATGATACACTACATAAAGACTTAAATGTACCTAAAATTTTAGATACTGCAAAAGAGAACTACTATAACTTTCACCAAAGACTGATGTACAACATCAATCCTCTGACAGAAATCCTTCATCGTACAAGAAACCCGTACAGCCCACTACGACGATTACATAGGCGTTGGCCAAGAGACCTGCTGATCTGATTTATATCCCGGACATGATTGGAAGCTGTGAAGCTGCTAAAAAATTTGCTTATTGCTAAAAAATTTGCTTATTGCTAAAAAATTTGCTTATTGCAAAGAAATTTGCATATTGCAAATTTAATCTAATGTTCCACATTTTTGTTTGGTCAATAAATAAATAAAGTTTACTGTAAAGATTAGAGTATCAGTAAAAAAAACTATATTAACGAAATGTGCTAAAAAAAAAGAAAAAAGCAGCACAACTGTTTCACTTTTAGGGTTGGCACAAATATTTTTTCTAGTTAGAATTACATTTATTTCTGAAAATGCAATGTCGAAGGAATTTATTTGTTCGTGTAAACATTTATTGTCATTCAGAAACATCAAATTTATTTTACTCTTAAGATTTTTTAAAGATAAGGTAATCATTAGACAAAAAAATTAATTAAAATGGGAACAAAGGTGACTGAGCCAGCCGTCTGTGGAAAATAAACTGAGGGAAATTAAAAGTAATGTCTCTGCATGAATCTTCATTCCGAAATAGTTGAAGAAAGGAGGTGTTTCTGGCAAAGTTGTATATTATAGGCCACACACGTCGGTTTCACGATTAACTGATGGCTCGCAAATCTCCAACTGAACGCTAGTCCTACAGATGTCCGTTAACTGTGAAACACTTTCTAACGAAAGATCACTCTTTGATATCCCTCAAAATATTTATTATGCTTTACTGAACAATTTACAGATGACTGACAGGCTTTTTGACTTACTGACAGAGATATACTCCAACATTTAAAATTTAACTACCATTGACGCAAGGCAATAATGACCCTGGTGGTTGACGTCTTTATAAACTAAGGTAAAAAAAAAATTATTATTGCTAGGCGCTAGTAAAAATTATATTACTATTTCTTCCAATCTTTTGAACAGTTCATTAAACTGTTATTTATCAACGGTTTATTGAGTTATTTTCATATAAGTAAGTATATAAAAGAAATAAAAATATTTTTTTATTATCCTGGGACTGTTGTTCCTTTAGGACAAATTATAGATACAGAATAAATGCCTGTGTGGCCATACATTAAATTAAATATTTACATTAAATACAATTCTCATTAAGATTAAAATATTGGAAAAAGAATAAAACAATAATACTAAAAACATACAGATATGTATAATACAAATGTGGGAAAATAAAATAACATAAGTAAACAAAATAATTTCTGGGGGAACTTTAAAAAGTTATATAGTGGTAAAATCAGATTTTTTACTAAATTACATTGTGCATAACTTCCATTATTCATTTTTAACATTAAGCCATAATAATTCCAATGCCATAAGCGATTTAAGAAATAATATTCTGTGCTACCTTAAAAAAAAAAAAATTTAGATGTCTATTAGTTTATTGATTCTTATTGAGAAAGAATACATTGACCATTATTCGAACAAATTCTTTATGGAATACAGGTATGTTGTTAATTTTTAAAACTCAATATATCTGCATCCTTATTTTTTATTTTTTTAAGTAAATATAACGATACAGATATGATTGACTGTAGTTCCAATTTAAGAAATAATTAGTAGGAGGGTTAATAGACCATTTTCTGGTATAGTCATGGAGGTGATTTGATTGAGCCATTATAGGAGCATACCATGGTTTATTATTTGTCGCACTCTAGGCAGAAATTTAGGGAAAAACAACTATATTTTCATTTATGAATCGTAGTTCACGAATGTGTAATAACAAAAATTTATGGAGTATTGCTTAAATCGCTTGACCACACTCCTTACTCACCATACTCAACCCTAGGTGGTTTGTTTTTCTTCCCTAAATTATTAATTGAACTTCGATGTCATAGATTTTAAGATATGTCATTGATTTATTGCAAAAAATCTTTCAAGTGACATTTCATAACCCTAGATAATTAAGATGAATTTTCTCATTGTGAAATCGAAGAATTGTGTAATTATATGTGATAAATAAAAGGTCTGTGACATTTTCATGGAATTACAGTAGTTGTGTTTCGATAAACAAGTTCGAGATTCACAAAAACATTCTTGAAAGTTCACCTAAGAATGGACTTAGTGACTTTTTACAATAAACTGACGATATAAGGACATTAGAATGATAGTAGTGTAAGTCAAGACAGCTGGGGAAAGGTAATGTTTTGTAAATGTAATCAGTTCTGACCTAAGGTTCAAAAAACCTGGGTACTTGCCTTACACTTACAAGATTTGGAGGGCTTGTATTCTTTGGAAGTCTACTTGTTGAAAATGAGAAAAAATTATAAAGCTTATGGGATCAATTAATGAAGCTACTAAATTAAAATATATTGAATGAAATACAATTTAAATTCCAAGTAATATATTAATAATAATCAAAATAATAACAAATAATCGTAATCATAAACAGCTGGGGGACACCAAATGTCTGAGGTGAACACTGAATATATTCAGATTATTTCTTTATTTAATTACAGATTTCCACCATCAAGCAGATTTCCTGAGTACGGATAGTAAACCATGACATAACCACAAAATATCTATTATTTAAGTACATATTAAGCCATACAAACTTTATAAGTAGCCTATATTATACATATATATCGTTAAAGTACATTTACAAAATACTAACTTTCTCGCAATAAATCAAACTCAATCCAATTGCTTTTCATTTTAATCTCCTGATATAGCTAAATGTTAGAAGATCGACGTGTAGTATATTTCGTCATCAGTCCAGTGACAAAGTGATTTATGAAATGAAATGAAATGAAAATATTTTTTTATTATCCTAGGTTGTCCCTTTAGGACAAATTAAAGATACAGAATAAATGCCTGTGTGGCCATACATAAAATTAATTATTTACAATTATTATTAAGATTAAGATTTTGGAAAAAGAATAAAACAAAAAATAGAACTATTACACTAAAAACATACTGATATGTATAATACAAACGTGGGAAAATAAAATAGCATAAATAAAGAAAATCATTTCTGGGGAAACTTTAAAAGTTCTCTTATCTACATTTATCTGCAATTTTCTCTAACTTTCAGTTTGCGATTTTCTGTTTTATTTTTAATATACTTTTTTTTTTAAATAACAGCATGCGTGAGGCAGATACAAACTCTATTTAACAAGATATGACCGATTAAAATAATAAATTGCATCTGCAACATAAAACCTTACATCTGCATCCTTAATTTTAAACTCAGTTTTCACAGTTTGACACATTTTTAGATAAGGCAATGTTTGCCATTATAGTTATAAAGTATTGTTTGGAAGCTGATATTTAAATTATTTTTTAATGTCCATTACCTTTTAGATTTATTAAACTTAATTATTGTTTATTACTTATGTTAGTGAAAAATTCTTACCTTTTATAAGATAAATATATGTCTAAAAAACTTCCTTCTAAATAAATCTACTATTATATTTTTAAAACAAAATTCATAATTTATTTTAATTTTGTTCTAATGATTTAGGGCCCCATTGCTTTCCACAACTTGTACGGTGTGTTCTACCCAGCGGTGAGCGTCAATAGAGGAGTCACCGTAACGCTACACACAGCTCTTGACCTCCCTTCAGATATTGAAGATACTTAAACATATTCCACTTTTCTTCACCTCAAGGACAATTAATGTGATATAATTTATTGTTATTAAGATGATATATTCTATTTTATTTTTTATTCTTTTTTTTTATTAACATTATTTGTCTTTTACTTAGTTTAATATAATAATCAGAATCTTAGAACACAATGATCGTTGATCTTATTCTGTCGAGTGTTTTTCTTCTATTCCCTTCTCTACCTAGACAGTATTAACAGCTTTAATTCATTACACATTCTGTAATTTAGTTATTTTTTAAATTTAATTTTATTATTTTTTGTAATCTATTATATGAAGAGACACAAATGTTCTTCTAATAAATTAAGAGAAAAAAAAATTGTTGTTAAATGAAAATTTTAACATGGATGTAATTAAAATTATTTTTGTCGTTTGAAAGAAAGGTACATATATTAGTGTTTATATGTTTTATGTAGTCTTCTTTAATTATTATTATTATTTAGAATAAGATAAAAGTCATTATTCAGTAGAAATATTAACTCAAAGAGAGACCCTCCCCCATGATATCTGCATATCAACTGTTCTTATCATCCTTTAAATATACAATTGATTATTAAAAGTCGTTTATACTTAAAACGCATACGCATTCATTATTCATGATATCTTGTATCTACCTGATAACTCTTAGACGATGGAAATCCATTAGATATAAATGTTTGATGTTTTAAGATTAGAAAAAATAAATAAAAATAGTCTTTATATATTATAAAACCTAGTATGTAAGGTGCTTAACTTTACATTACCAACATAGCTGCAGGATGCAAAATTAGAAGTCTAAAGGCACCCCGAGTGAAGTTTTAAGATTCACTGATACAAACATATGTAGACATAGATATATTTATTTGAATAATAAATTAGCAAGTAAATAATGACAGGTTTTTATTTATGAGATCCAGGGTTTGTCCATTTAAATAGTTCTCCGAAAGGTTAAAAAGGAAAACTTGATTTCTTGGTTATCTGAGGACTGAATTTTGGTGTTTTTGTTTTAATTTAGGTTAGCAAAAAATAATTGTTTATAAAATTTGACATTATTTGGAAATAAGCAAGTCTAATTGTATTGCAATTTATGTATTTAGATTATTTTTGTGTTGCGAAATAGTTTGGCTATAATTTTACTTTGAAGATCTAATATCTGTCAACGTATATCATTCTTTGACCTCGATACAATTTCCAGCTTAATTATTTAATAAGTATGTATTTAATTGTTTTCATATGCTATGTATAGTATGGTTCTATATGATTTTTGTTGCTAAATATAATTATTTCCAAAACTATTTCCTTCTGAAATTAAAAAATCATATAATCTCAGCAGGTAATAGTTTTTAAACTGTTTAAAAAATATCAAATTAAATGTAAACTACATATTATGTTTAATTTTATATATATTTATGTTTTATACAGTTACTATTAGTTTACTGATTTTTTTTGTTTTGTTGAAATTTCCTCAGATAAAAATGAAATTTTTATTTAAAAAATTAAGTCATATTGATCCCGCATGAAAGATTTATTTTTTTAAGTGCATATTTTAATATTTAATATCGTGTATGATTTCCTGTATACAAAGTACTAATTGTTTTGTTAACTATGACAACATAGATTTGGTTTAATTTGCTAAAATCTATTCATGATAAAAAATGAATTATTTCTAATTAGCTAATTAAAAATTTATTCATCATGTATTTAAATATTCAATAACTTTCTCGTTTTCTTAAATAAAACATCTTGTTGAATTAAAAAAGAAACATTTTGCATTGTAATTCTTTAAACTAGATTTTAATCTCATTGATGTTTGACATTATTTAATTAATTCAAATGATATTCAGAAGCATGTCTAAGATTTTCAACAGATTCTTTTTACTGATTTTAAAAATATTTTAGAATTGTGCTTGTTACGATTAAAATTCTTACTAGCACAGTTTAAGCAATACAAACTATTGATGTCCAAAACAAAGAAATATTTAGTCATTAAGATTTTTTTTTTTTTTTTATGTTGTATATTGTAAATACTTGTAAATATATAAATATATATGTCATATTTGTATGTGTGCTCATAAAACTACCTTTATATATAAATGAAAAATTATCTCAAATATTAGAATTGTTCACTGCCACGTGCAATGTATTTAAATTTTATGTGTAAGTTTAATTTTTGTTTCTTATAATTTATTTCCAGTTTTAATCTCTCATTAAATTAAATTTACTTGAAACAGGGTAAATATGGTACTTCATTATTCTGTCAGGTTGGTACAAATAATTGTTCTATTTCTCCTCTGCTATATCCAATGGAAGTGCATATAATTTTTAAGATTAGGAAAGACTGAATGACTAGAGTATATAGACCGCACGGAAATGGTTTCCAGTCCACAGAAACAATAGTGCTGTCAAGTATGAATTGTTTAGGTCTTATATTATCAGATCTGTATACATATTTTTAATTTTTCTTGTCCTTTTTTATTTACTATGAAATTCTTCTGTAGTGGATAGTATTGGGAACTGTTTTATTATCCTTTCCAGATAGTTTTCTGTACTTATTCTCTACTTTTTATGTCGTTCAATTATTAAGTCAAACTTCTCTACAAATTTATAAAAATCACAACATATATATAAAAGCAATTAATGATGTTCTAAATTTTGTGTAGATACATAGAAACAAAAATTTTAACAATTGAGAATATTTGATTGGATAAACATATTATGAAGTTCCCTGATATGATTAATAACTATTATTATTATATTAAAAGATAAAAAATTCTTCCCCACTGTAAACAAATTGCAATTCTGAAAACTCCGAATCAAGAAGTAATACAAAACAAAAATTTATCTTTGTTCATAGAAAATAATCAATTTTTTTTCAACTTGAAAATTCTTATGGATTGTATGATAGTTTAAGATTCTTATGTCCATTCAGTGAAGTGAATTTTGTCATCTTTATCGATATGAGACTATCTGTTATACAAGGTTTAAATATATTTGATTCCCTTTACTTACGGCTAGTACAAAACAATTACCTATTACTAAGCTGTTTCCGCTAAGAGGAGTTTCACTTATTTAAAATATTTTTTATTTATATTTATATATATGTAAAACTAGCTGTTGTAAAGATTTGAATAATAATTTATATATATTACTGCTATTATATTTTTTAATTACTTAATAATGTTGTTAGCTGATATGATATAAATGTATTTTTAAACAAATATATCGATCAAAATAAAAATTATAAACATTTATTATTGTAATTACTTAGTGCTTCTTAACTATTAATGTTCTCTGATAAATATATCATATGTTTATCGTCATTGCCTTTTCTTTTTTTATATTAAATCATTGAAGAATCAACATTTAGTGCATAAAAATACAATGCAATTAAATGAACATTTCTGATAAGATATAAAAAAGTAATTGAATATCTTGTCATTCTAAAATTGGAACCAAATGGTTACAATTGGCCTCTTCCATACAATTAATGAAAGTAAAATTTATGATTTAAAACTAAAAGACCCAAAGACTCGACCTATAATCTTCAGCAAGCTATACCAGTTCCTAAATCAACATGGACCACCTTTAAAAGAATAACTTTGGGCTGTTTGCATAAACTGTAAAGGACACTTGTTTTTGTGGGTTGAAAAAACGACAGAAGGGTAGTGATGAGGTGTATGGTGCTCCACAGGCGGGTTTACGAGAAGGGGAGGGGAGGGGGTCTTTAGGGCTGAAGCCCTCCCAAAATGATAAATATATCCATGTCTTATGAAAACAAATATCTCTAAAAAGTACTATAGTTCATTAGTTAAATTAAATAGGACATCTAGAATTACTTAAATACCATTTCTTATGGGTAATTAGTTTCTTTCTTTTTGTTCCGAAGTAATTTTTATTTTGTATATATAGAAAAAAAAGCTTTCAGGCACCCAAAATCAATTCCTGGATCTGCTAGTGCAGTGCTCTGAATCAAAATTCATAATGCTTAAACCAGAAATAGAAAATCTCATAGTTTTTTATGATAACTACCTTGGACATAATACAACCTAGGCTACATTGGTGAAACAAGACAAAATATGGAAAAAAGGATGAATCAGCATCTCACTGATACAAAAAATAGTAAAACTGATAATAAAACAGCCTTAGCCCATCATAGTATTACCAATAGACATAATTTCAATTTATTAAAACCACAAATTTTATATAAAGAAACACAGCACACAGTGAAAAATAATAGACACAATATTCATAATAAAACAGCTATTAATTTTAAAACCGATGCGGCCAAAATAGGGAGTCACTATGCTTATCTTATAAATAAATTAGATATATAAAAATAAATAAAAGAATTGGAGTTTGACCCCTTGCTTAAAGTTTAATGTTCAGTATCTGACTAGACTCAAGACCCTAGATGAGACTTAAATAAGAAGTCCAGGTAACATATTCAACATTGAAAATAGTAAAATACATATAATAATAGTAATAATTAAATAAATAATAAATTTAAAAATACTACATTTTTAGCAATCGGACAAGAATAAAACAATTTAATTAACATGACAAGTTTTATGGAGAAATAAGATGATGTGGGATACTGGTAAGAAAGTGCAAAATAAAATAAAAATTAAATTATTGTTGTTTTTAGTTGTATTGATAAATGCTTTATTGTTCATATATAATTGTTAATAGCGATATGTTGTAATTTCTAGTCTGAAGATGGGATATAAGTGGATCCCGAAACGTTATGATGTAATGATGTAATTGAGTGGAATAAATTTGAGAATAAATCACTGGAAAAAAATATTCTTGCTTATATACCTATAAAACCTGGGCTGTGATATGGCTCAGTATGTTCTTTGCCAGATAAAAAACACTGAGATATCTCCAATCAATACCTTTTAATATTAGAGCATTGCTGGCCTTAGATATTTGGGACAATGGCGCCTTCTCTATTCCCTCCCCCTCTAAAAAATGAATTTAATTCGTAAGCTGTTTTA